CTGTGAGCAGGTGAGGGCTCCTCTTTCCTGTGGTCAGAGGACAGGAAAAAAAGAAAAAAATGTGGTCCCTCCACTTGCACTCATTGGGGGCTGGCATTCTGTGTCCTGCCTTGCTTGACCGTGGAGTGTCTGTCTGTTGGGGTCGGAATGATGCTGCCTGGGTCAGCATCCCTGGTGGCATCACAAGGACCCTGGTGGCCCTGCGATGTGTCCTTCATGGGACACTGCCAGCAAACAGCGCTTCCCTCTTCCATCATGGAGGCAGGTGAGGAAGGGCAGCACAAACAGTGGGCGTCACCCCGCCCTCCTCTCAACACGGTCAGGATGATTGATATTCAAACACTGGCCAGTCTTCCCTGCCCCCTCCCCTCTCTCCCTCGCTCCCTCCTCTTCCCTCCCCGCCCCACTAAGGGTTCCAAGCCCTTTGCTTATCTCTGCACAAGAGGTCCCCTCCCCCTACAGCCTGCTTAGCCATCAGTGTGAGTGGCTTGGGAGGACGTGACTCCAACCACCTGTTCACAGATGACTGTGTGTCCCATCTCCCATACTGACTGTGGGGATAAGGAGGCACGGACCTCACAGCCTCAGGATACGGTAAGCAGCCTACAGTATGGATGTCCCACGCGTCCCAGTTCTCCGGTTCTCCGTGTCCTGTTCTGTGTCTGGGCATACACGGGCTCAGATGCCAGACTGGCAGATTTGGGGTTGTCTGTAGGGGAAGGTGGTGCAATAGGCATACCTCTCCACTAGGTGGCACCCACGGCAACATTTTTCCATCTTGCAAACTTCATTCCATTGAAGGATGCAAATAGACCGCGGCACAAAATGCATGACTTTGAGCATACACAGGTCCTTCTCGGAGTTCGGGTCCCTCGGGGTTTGTACTAGGTGTGTATGTCAGGGGCAGGTGTGAGGGAACCTTCTGCATGGTCTCCCCTGTGGGTGACAGGGAACCAGGCACTTGACCTATATTCTGCTCACTTTCCTAGAGTCAGCAGGGAGCTGGATCAGAAGTGAGCAGCCAGTTGGGACTGTTGCATTACCATCTGGGGTAATAGTGTCCCAGTTCAGGATACACTAGTGGTTACTGAGTAGCTCAGGAGAAGGCTCCTTTGGCCTCCTGTGACTGAATGCTTTTTTTAAAAAAATTTATTTTGTTTTTATTGGAAAGTCAGATATACAGAGAGGAGGAGAGACAGAGAGGAAGATCTTCTATCTGCTGATTCACTCCCCAAGTGGCCACAATCCCTGGAGCTGCACCGATCCGAAGCCAGTAGCCAAGACCTCCTCCAGGTCTCCCACACAGGTGCAGGGTCCCAAGGCTTTGGGCCGTCCTCAACTGCTTTCCCAGGCCACAAGCAGGGAGCTGGGTGGGAAGTGGGGCTGTCGGGATTAGAACTGGTGCGTGCAAGGCAAGGACTTTAACCGCTAGGTTACCACACCCGGCCCTCTGTGGTTTAAGGTAGGGATCCATCCAACTTTATTGTTAGTGTTATTATTTATTTTCTGCCTCAATTAGGCCTACAGCTGGGGTCAAAACCTGCTCTAATCGGAGGCCAGCGCTGTGGCATAGCAGGGTTTAGCCATTGCCTGCAACACTGGCATCTCATATGGGCACTATTTGAGTCCAGGCTGCTCTACTTCCTCTCCAGCTCGCTGCTCAGGCACCTGGGACAGAAGCAGAAGATGGCCCAAGTGCTTGGGGCCCTACATCCACAGGGGGCACCCGGGCAAAGCTTCCAGCTCCTGGCTATGGTCTGACCCAGCCCTGGCTGTTGTGGACAGCAGATGGAAGATCTGTCTCTCCTTTCTATCTCTTTGACTCTACGTTTCAAATAAATACAAATCTTAGGGGGAAAAAAGAAGAAGAAAGAGAAAAAGCAGACTGTAGTGAAAAGCCCATTGTCCTAAGGGCAAGGTCTGCCTCCCTATGCTGCCACCACCTCATGGGCCAGGAGGTGAGGGGAACTTCCCCAGCCACAGTGGAGCCAGGCGTGAGCCTCCAGTGCTTTGGCTGGGCTGGTAGGAAGCTTCCGGAATCCAGAGCCCCGGGAGGGACAGGGAGCTGGAGAGTGGGGCGAGGGCTTTGGGCAGCACGGTGCCCTGCCGGGTGTCCAGTGCTCTGTAGAGCTGACCACCGTCTGTCCAGCTCTCCTTGGGCAGCCCAGGCAGGTATTGGTCTCAGCCCCCAGGCCCTGGGGAGTAGCATGGGGGGCAAAAACCGACAGCCCTGGGGACCTGCAGGAAACTGGCGCTCAGCCAAGCCAAGGGGTGCTGTGCCTTTTCGGGGGGGAGAAGGGGTTTTCTTTCTTCCTGGAGCTCCCCAGCAGGTGGGGAAGATGCTAGAATCTGCATCAGTTCTTAGGGGGTGTGGCTCTGGCAGTCTGGCTCCAGGGTAGTACTTGCTATGGCTTGATTGTCCCTGTCACCCCCATGAGGAGGCATTCAGAAGTGGTTGGGTCTTGAGGGCTCTGCTTTCATAAGGTTAATGGGTTATGAGGGCAGGTCTGTCTCCTGGAGGTGCCCCTCTCGCCAGGTGAGCCCTGCAGGTCTGCACAGTCCCCTGGGCAAGCGGCCCACACCGCTGGGCACCCCTGAACCCGGGGCTAGGTTAGCGGCTGCATCTCCCCCATCCTCCAGAGGCACAGAAGGCATGGAGCATGCGCGGGATGACACCAGCCCCGACCCTGGGCACCACCCCCAGACCCAGGACCCGCAGTTTCTTTTCACCCCACCTTGCCTGTGCCCCAGCTCCCCTCTCCTGTACATCACAGGGTCCTATGGAACTCGTGGCCCTTTACTTCTTCTTTAAAAAAAATTTTTTTTACTTGTTTGAAAGGCAGAGAGGGAGGGAGGCAGAGAGAGATCTCTTTCAATCTCTGGTTCACTCCCCAAATGGTTATAATGGTCTAGGTTGGGCCAGACTGAAGCCAGGAGCTCCATCCGGGTCTCTCACACGGGTGTCAGGGACCCAGGTACTTGGGCCATCTTCTGTTGCCTTTCCAGGCACATTAGCAGGGAGCTGCACTGGAAGTGGAGCCAGCCCACAGCAGGCGTTGTGGCATAGTGGGTGGAGCCACCACCTGCCATGCCAGCACCCCATATGGGCACCAGCGCATGTCCTAGCTGATCTACTTCCGATTCACTTCTGATCTCTGCCACCCAGTTCTCGTCTCTTAGCTTTCTCTCTTTCTCTTTCTTTCTCTATCTTCCCCCACCCAACCTCCATCTCTCTTTCTTTCTCTCTTGGGCCTGGTGTGTTAGCCTAGTGGGTAAATCCTCACATTGCATGTGCCGGGATCCCATGGGTGCTGGTTCTAATCCTGGCTGCTCCACTTCCCTTCCAACTTCCTGCTTCTGGCTTGGGAAAGCAGTCGAGGACGGCTCAAGGCCTTGGGACCCTGCACCCACATGGGAGGCTGGGAAGAAGCTCCTGGCTCCTGGCTAAGGAGCTCAGCTCTGGCTGTTGCAGCCCCTTGAGGACTGAACCAGTGGATGGAAAATCTTTCCCTCTTTCCTTCTCTCTGTAAATCTGACTTTCCAATTAAAAAAAAATCTCTTTCTGTCTTTCTCTCTATGTAATGTGACTTTCAAATAAATGAATACATCTTTTTTTTTAAAAAAATGAAAAAGAAGTGGAGCAGCTGGACTTGAACCAGTGCTCATGTGGGATGCCAGCATCCCAGACAGCCTCTTAGTCCGCTGCTCCACAACACTGGCTCCTGGTCTGCATTCCTTCTTGCAAGGAGCCAAATGTCTATTTTCCACTCTGTACCAAGGGGTTGGCCTCTGCTGACCCGACTGTTTCCACGTTCAGATGAGGGTTTCCAGCACACAGCGGACATGAGGGAGCATCTGAATGAAATTGCAGGGACCTGATTTTCACATGAGGGGTCCCACAGTTGCAGAGGGCGTCCCCGCTTCATCTTCAGCCTGTGCCTTCTGCAATGTCCACTGAAACACAGGGCAAGGTGGACCTGCCCGCGCCCACGGCCTGGATTCACTCCCTCCTGCCCCCAGCAGGCAGCCTGGCTTGCTGGTCCCAGCCCGTGTTGAGCTGTTGCAGCAGTAATTAGCTGTCCATTCTGAGTGGACAGTCCTGACCACTGCTTCTCGGAGGGACCCAGCCTGCCCAGGCCCTGCCCGCTCACCCCTACACTCCTTTCCTTCCTTCCTTCCTTTCTTCCATCCACCAGCCTTTGTGGCTGTCCCCAAAGATCTTCCCTGTTGCCAGGGAGTTGGGCCTGTGTGCCAGGCAAACCGAAAATGCCAGCGACCCCTTCAGGGAGTAACTAGTTGCTGGCTGGCTGGCTGGCTGGTGGAAACTAGGGGGCTCTGGGTGCACCCTAAGGCCTCCCCATTCCTGGGTGACAACTGCCAAGGCCCAGGAGCCCCCAGTAGACTGAGCAGTCATGGGTGCCCACACCACAGTGCCCCTGGCTAGCACTCCTTGCTGGTAGGCTCCCTGCCCTGTGCCCTGTCCCATGCTTTCAGGGGAGCCAATAAACTGCCCGGATCCTGGCCCGGGCTCTGCTTCTGGGGGCAAGGAAGCTGAATCCCACCTGTCTGGCATGAGATGTGGGGCCTGGCTTCTCCTGGGTCAGGCTTTTTTTTTTCAACAAACTTTGCTTTGGAACTGCTAATGGGTTCCCAGTTCTTTGGGAGCAATGATACCCCATCTTTCCTTCCACCACATCCTCATGCTGTTTTGGGCACCATGACTGGCCTGTTTCAACACCCCGAGTCAGAATTGGCCATTGTCCTGGGGCTATGGAGCCCTTCCAGGTGGCGTTTCATAAGATGGCCACATTGACTCCCTTCCCGGTTTTGGCGTTGCTGTGGACGTTTTACAAAGATCCACATTCTCCTCTCAACCCAAAGTGGTTCCCCACCTCCCAGCTGGCCGCACCCATCCTTCGTGGGGGATGCAGGACAGTGACAGACCCCTCTCAGCCCCTTCCCCCTCCATCCCCTACCCAGCACCGTGAGCTCGGTCCTACCTGTGGGGCTGATCTCAAACAGGTGCTTGCCTGGATCTTCAGGGCCAGGAAGCAATTCGGTCACTTGGGTCCCTTGTAGGGAGATAAATCCCTGAAATGAGACAGACATAAGCACAGAGGAAGTGAGATGGCTGGGGCAGGGCTCCAGGGCTGGGGACCCCTGTGTGGTGGGGGAGTGAGATGGCTGGGTTCCAGGGCTCCAGGGCTGGGGACCCCTGTGGGGGTTGTGAGGTGGCTGGGGCAGGGCTCCAGGGCTGGGGACCCCTGGGAGGGAGTGAGGTGGCTGGGGCAGAGCTCTGGGGCTCCAGACCTCCAGAGTGCAGAAGGCCAGCTCCCCTGGTCAGTGAGTGTGTCTCCCTTAGAACCAGGGTAGATGAGACCTCTGCCCCACTCCCCAGGGCCTAGAGCACACAGGACACAAGGACACTCAAATGTCCTCTAGGAACCACGGCTGAATGTGCATGTAGCCCACGCAAACCTGCTGAACACTAGCAATCAGCCATCTCCAGGCTGCTGGCACTGCTGGATACAACGTAAAAGGTCAGCAAGTCCCACAGGAAACAGACAGGAAATACTGGCCGTGTCCCAAACACTGCAACACTTTCCCTAAATCACTGTGGTTGGCAGGTGGGTGGATCCTGAAGATTCACAATATACAGATACAGAACAACTGTATACATCACAACAGGTGACTACTGAATACATCAGAGCAGGCGGACTGTGACCACTGTATACATCAGAGCAGGCGGGCTGTGACCACTGTATACGTCAGAGCAGGCGGGCTGTGACCACTATATACATCACAGCAGGCAGGCTGTGACCACTGTATACCTCAGAGCAGGCGGACTGTGACCACTGTATACATCAGAGAAGGCGGGCTGTGACTACTGAATACATCAGAGCAGGCGGGCTGTGACCACTGTATACGTCAGAGCAGGCGGGCTGTGACCACTGTATACATCAGAGCAGGCGGGCTGTGACCACTGTATACATCAGAGCAGGCGGGCTGTGACCACTGTATACATCAGAGCAGGCGGGCTGTGACCACTGTATACATCACAGCAGGCGGGCTGTGACCACTGTATACATCAGAGAAGGCGGGCTGTGACCACTGTATACATCAGAGCAGGCGGGCTGTGACCACTGTATACATCAGAGAAGGCGGGCTGTGACTACTGAATACATCAGAGCAGGCGGGCTGTGACCACTGTATACGTCAGAGCAGGCGGGCTGTGACCACTGTATACATCACAGGTCTCCTGAGCACTTTTTCTAATCTGTGTACAGTGCTCTCCCATGTTAATTCCTGGAGCCTAATAACATCACCGCATATTTCCTCTCCCCTGTGGACATCTCCCAGCAATCTCATCATTTCCTGCACTCATGCTGCCCTACGTGCTGTGTGGGGTTTTTTGGCCCTCCCACATTTCCAGCCAATGGGATTCGGGGAGCACAAGGTCCTCGGCATGGCCAGTGTCAGAGGAACTGTCCCTGAGGGTGCTGTCTGCTCCACTAGCAGTCAGGGCCCTTGAGCCTGGGCTGCAGTAAATGCCCTGCTTTCTGCTTCTTTCTCTGAGCGCATCTTTTTGGTGTAGGTACCTTAGGTGGGTGCTCCTCCCACACCTGCTGCACAACAAGGCCCACCACAGGATGCCCGTTTTAAACTCCAGCTCAAAAGTCTGTGGTGTGGGCTCAGGTCCTGATTCAGCTACAGTTGCTTAACCTGGCAGCATCCCATTTTGTTGTACCAGAACAGCAGTATTTTGTGATGCTTTCATGAGCTCGGTAAGAAAAAGTGCTCAGAAGGCCAGTGTTGTGTCACAGTGGCTGAAGCTGCTCCCTGCCATGCTGGTATCCCACGGTTCATGTTCTAGCTGCTCCGCTTCCGATTCTGCTCCCTGCTGATGTACTAGGGAAGCATCAGAAATGGAGCAAGTGCTTGGGCACCTGCACCTATGTGGGAGACCCAGACGAAGCTTTTGGCTCCTGGCTTTGGCCAGGTGCAGCCCTGGCTGTTGTGGTCACTTGTAGTTGAGCCAGCGGATAGAAAATCTCTCTCTTTCTCTGTGTAACTGTCATTTTCAAATAAATAAGTCCTTTTTTTCATCTTTTTTTTTACAAAAAGGATTTAGTTATTTTTATTAGAGAGGCATATTTACAGAGACAGAGAGACGGAGAGAAAGATGTTCCGTCCACTGGTTCATTCCCCAAAAGGCTGCAATGTCCAGTGCTGAGTTAATCTGAAGCCAGGAGCTTCCTCTGCGTCTCCCATGTGAGTGCAGGGGTCCAAGGCTTTGCGCCATCCTCTGTTGCTTTCCTAGCAGGAAGCTGGATTGGAAGTGGAGCAGTTGGGACACAATTTGCAGACAAAGGATTAGCAAGTGGAGCCATTGTGTGGGCACCCAAGTAAATAATTTTACTTTTTTAAAGAATTAATCGTTGGGACATTGGGAGAGCAGGGACACAGTAGAGTTACACTTTCCACTTAGCACATCTCGGTGATGACTGCACATCAGGCCCCGACCTCCGCGCATGCGCCCACGTGTGTTCCCCCTCCTGTCTGCTCCAGGAGACACCTCCCACGGGCACAGGCAGGGCTCAGCCTTTGCCATGGCAGCAATGCCGGGTAGCATGTTTACCTTAGGGCGCTGGCTTTCCAGATCCGCCAGCCACGAGGCAGAACCAGCTGGTAATTATTGTAAGTGAATTAGCAGTTGTTTTCTAGCTGGGGAACTTGGAGTTCCCGGCAGTGAACTGGGCCTGCATCTCCTAGAGGTGGGGGTGAGTGGGTGAGAGGCACTCCTGGCTACGGGGATGAGGAGAAGTCTCTAATCACGGGTATTTGGCTTCCTCTCTGGTCTCCATGTCTGTTTTCCTTACAGCGGCAGTAATCACATTGATGGCGACATGGCTTTGGACTCTGGGTAAAAGGAAGGCAGCGCTGGCTCCTGCTGGCTCTCAGCCTTGTTGGATTTCATCCAGAGGCCACGTGGGGAACATGAAATAAAGCCCACGCAGGTGAGAGGTGAAGCAATTGGACCTGGGAGCCCAGAGCTAGCCAAGGGCCAGCGGGGATGAGGGCTCTGGAAATGGATGCTGGAGCCCTATTCTGCGCCCTGGGTTTGCCCACACAGGCAATGGCAGCCACCAGCTGACCCTGCGGGTCAGTCACCACCTTGGAGGCACCGCTCACCGCGCAGGTGAATTCCAGTGTGGCCCTCATCAGTGCAAAGGGTTCTCGAGTGCCTCGGATGCCTGGGTTCCTCCACCTACCGCAGGTCAAGATGGTGTCTTTGCTTCTGTGGACTCCACACTGGGGTGAGGGCTGAGCGTGGGGCAGCGACTGGTGTGTGTATACATTGGCTGTCCCATTCCTAGCATGACTCCGGCGAACACTGTGATGAAACTGGCAGTGTGAGATGGCCAGCTGGCTGAGATAATTGGGGCGGGTCTCACCCATGGATGTAGGCGTCTTCAACTGCCCCCTAGGGTAGCCACGCACACTGATGCAGAGTTCCAAGGCTGTGGGCCATTCTCTGCTGCTCTCCCAGACCACAAGCAGGGAGCTGGGTGGGAAGTGGAGCAACCGGGACACAAACCAGTACCTTTATGGGATCCTGGGCTTGCAGGGTCGGGATTAGCCAGTTGAGCCATTGCACTGGGTCCTCTCTCTCTTTTTCTTTCTCCCTCTCTCTGTCACCCTACCTTTCAAATAAATAAGATACACCTTTTTTAAAAATAAGCTTTTAAACCATGTAGTACTACTAAATGTTGTTCTATTGGCCAAGCTGTTTAATAATACAGTAGTCTTCCTTTATCCAAAGCTTTTGCTCTTTGCAATTTCAGTTTCCTGTGGAACCGTGGCTTGAAAATATGAAACGGAAAATTCCAGAAATAACGGTCCATCTGCTTTCCTTTGTATGCTTTATGAGCAGCATGATGAAAATCCCATGCATTCTGTCCTACCTGGGCTTCAACCAGCCCTTCACTCAGAGGAGCCATGCCGTGGGCACTCCCAGCCCATGTGCCCTTCCACGGCTGTCTCTATGACCACACTGGCAGGCATCACCTCACCACACAGTGCTTATGAACGGTCCCAGAAACCTTTATTTTAGTCATGATGTCCCCAAAATGCAAACTTTTAGCTGAAATCGTTCTGATTATTATAATTCTTACTGTGCCTACTTTACACATCAGACGTATGCATGCATAGGGGAAAAAAAATAAAGCATAGCAGATTAGATACAGGACTTGGGACTGGCTGGGACTTCAGGTGTCTGGAAACACATTCCCTGCAGATCAAGGGCGGGTATTGTAGTGATCACTCCCTCGTTCCTCTGGGTGGATATTAGTTAGGAGGTATAGGGCACAAGTGCTCAGACCACCGACTTGCCATACAGGCCCTTGGGGACATGGGCTGATGATGGGAGGGACGCCGTTCTGCTCTGATGGTCCAAGTACCAAGTAGGGTGCTGTGGGAGGTTTGGTTCTAGCCCCTAGCTGTGACCTATTGGAGTGGAGCCTGCCAAGAACCCTAGTAAAAGTACTCACTGTCAGGTCACCTTCTCTGGGCAGCGTCTGCAGCTGCCTGCACCAGGAGTGGCCCATGGCCTCGCTGGAAGGCCCAGGGTTCCCTGCGGTGGTGAGGGGTTGGAGTGTCAGGGGAGAAACCGCTGCACCTCACCGCTGTGCCCAGGCGTGGTAGCCGGTGGCTACAGCCAATGTTGCCATTGAGGCAGATGTGGCCGGAAGGTCGCCAGCCATCAGGGGCATGTGGCTTCAGACCTTCCTGCACCTGCGTGGACACTGCTGTGGATTCCAACCTCGCTGTTCACCCTGCCCTCAGCGTTTCCGAGCATGCCTGCCAGGCCTGGAACAATCTGTAGCTCCCTCAGAACTAGCTGCTCTGGGCAGGCGCTGTCTGGACCCTGCCCTCATGTCAGGAGGTGTTGATGTGGACACCCCACACCCCGTTCCCAAGGCTACAGCACCAGGCTGGAGGCTGCTCTTCCATGCCTGCCGTTGGTTTCCGGGCTGCACAATGTTTCCAGGCGCCTTCCCCCATCAGTGACTGTCCTAGCCTGGGGGGTC